TTGAATGCTAAATGAGGGGATGCCTGGGTGGCTCAGTTGGTTGAGTGTCTGACTCTTGATTTTGGCTGAGGTCATGATCCCAAGGTCATGGGATCGAGTCCCATGTCGGGCTCTGTGCTGAGCATGGAGACTGGTTAAGATTCTCTTCCTGTCTCCCTCTGCCCCTCTCCCCCACTTGCATTCTCTATCTAAAATAAAAAAAAATTTTAAATTATTATAAATAAATAAATAAATAAATAATAAATAAATAAATGCATGCTAAGTGAGAAGACGTTGCTTCATTCTGAAATGACCAATGAGTTGCAACCATGTGCCAGGCACAGGAAGTGACTGAGAAAGATGGGCCCTGCCCTCCGAGAGCTTAGTCTCTTGCTCAGGAAGCATCCATGGCTCCCTGTTGCTCATCAAAGCAGCCCAGAAACTCTGGCCCAGGCTCCAACCTTCCTTTCCAGCCTCTTCTCATGCTACTCACCCTCACGTGAAAACTACTCCCCAGTCCTAAAACCACTGCGGACTTCCCTGCTTCTGTGCCTCCGTCCTGCTGTCCTGCCTGCCCTGCTCCTTCCTCACTCGGCTCTAACTGAAGATCTTGCCCCTCCTTCAGGACCCACCCTTTTGCCCTGAAGCCACCTCTGATCACATCAGCTCCTCTGTGCTCCCTGCAGCACTGGGATCTTTCCTAATACTCTGAGCACACGCTTGCCTTGCTTTGGTGTTATCTGCCCACATGCATCTCTCTTTTCGGTTATGGCTCCTCAAGGGCAGGGACTGTGTCTTCTTTGATCTTTGCACCCCTCAAAGCCCTCGGCCGTGGTTATGAAATGTCTTTGAATGGAACGGGGCTACAAAGAAGAAGAGCTTCAGGTGTTCAGAGGCCTTGGCGGTGCCTGGGCTGGAGCGGTGGGAAAGGCTTCACAGGGGAGGTGACCTTGGGCGAGTCGGAGTGAATGGTGTGGGTTGCGGCAAACCTTCTGGGAAAGGAAGGAGAAAGAAGGCCGCGCTCCATGGTGTGTGCTGCTGGGTGGCTGGGGTGTGGGGCTGTGGGTGAGGTGCTTTTCCTCTTTCCATTCTCGTCAGATGCGCTCAGGGATGGCAAGGAGATCAAGTGGCCGGATGCCATGTACCCAGACCTCCACATGCCCTTTGCACCATCCTGGTCCCTGCACTGGGCGTACAGAGATGGACATCTGGTCAACCTGCCAGTTAGCCTGTTGGTGGAAGGAGACATCATAGCTCTGAGGCCCGGCCAGGAATCGTTTGCCTCTCTGAGGGGGATCAAGGTAGCTCAGGACTTTTCTCCTCCCCTGGAAATGCCGTGGGAGCATCCACAGGCAATGGTGGGAGGGCCCCAGGGCTTAATCCTGAAGCTTCCTGGCCAGCTCACAGGCTTCTTGGCAAGGGCTCTTAGGAGAACAGAGAAGGGCTAGAATATTTTTCTCCTTCTTGGCCTGTTCTTTCTTTTCTCTGCCCCTTAAGCTTGTGGGAATCCAGTTCCACAGCTGCCCCAACCCTCCGCCCCACAGCTGACTCTTTGCTAACTGATGGTCCCTAACCCAATGAACTGCTTCCATTTAGCTGGAATTGTCAAGGAAGGGTGGCTTCCGAATGAACCTGTTAATTGCCCTCAACCTCCTCCCCCTTCCTCCCTGGCAGGATGATGAACACATTGTCTTAGAGCCGGGAGACCTGTTTCCCCCTTTCTCTCCACCCCCTTCCCCCAGGGGAGAAGTGAAGAAAGGGCCACAGAACCCCCAGCAGCACAGACTCTTCCGTGTCCTTGAGACCCCCGTGATTGACAACATCAGGTAGGGTTGCTACCCTGCCTTCCTTCTGTCCCCTGACTTATCCTCGTCCCTAGTGGCTCTGTGAGCTGGGGGCAGGGGGTGGGTGATGAGGAGCCTTGTTTACGCTGAGGTTCCCTTAGGGCAGGCACCTCTATGGGGTCTTTTCTTTAGTGTCTCATGAGCATTCCTAGACTGGGTGATTGTTCCTCTCCCCCCTGTTAGAACTCTGAGGGGACAGCTCTGGAGGCTGCCCCAGACCCCTCTCTTGGGGGGCGGGGGACTTGGTGGGGGCCAGGGAATAGGAGAGATTGCCTGACTCAGTGATGCCCCGTAAAGGTGCGTGTTTCTGGCCTCTTCCTGAGAGCTTGCACAACTGTAGGGTCACCCCTTTCTGCAGGTGGTGCCTGGACATGGCCCTGTCCCGCCCAGTCACTGCTCTGGACAACGAGCGGTTCACGGTGCAGTCGGTGATGTTGCACTACGCTGTGCCTGTGGTCCTGGTGCGTGAGGCGGGCCGCGCAGGGCAGGGGAGAGGGCCAAGAGAAAGGGGGAGCCTCAGGGCCAGATTCAGGTGAGCGTGTGAGTGAAGACAGGGATCCCAGAGTGAGCTGGCCAGTGCTGGGGTTGGGGGCGTGTAAGTGGGCAGAGGAAAGGGAACCTTAGAGCCCGAGTGTCTCTCTGGGTGGTGGGGGCTAAGGCTGCACCTCTCCTGTGCCCCAAAGGCTGGCTTCCTCATCACCAATGCCCTGCGCTTTATGCTGAATGCCCCTGGGGTCACGTCCTGGCAGTACACCCTCCTCCAGCTACAGGTAACCCCCACCCTATCCCGACTGTCGTGCTTTGCACTTTCTGTGGAGCCTGGGTCCCCTCACGGTGCCCTGACTGTTCCTTCCTCTCTGTAGCCCCAGGGTCCCTCAGGCTTCAAACTTAAGAATGCCTGCTTTCCTTCTTCTCTTCTTGCCCTGGACAGCTGTCCCTTTCTACTCAGGGAATGGCTTCAGGGCCGGGGAAGCCCTTCCCTCCCTCCCTCCTTCCAGGCCAGCAGCTCCTTGGGAGCCTTCAGTGTGGTTCGCGCTTTCCCAGGTGAACGGCGTCCTGCCCGTCCTCCCCCTGCTCTTTCCAGCCCTCTGGGTTCTGGCGACCGCCTGTGGAGAAGCCCGCGTCCTGGCTCAGATGAGCAAGGCCTCTCCCAGCTCCTTGGTAGGTTGTTCCAAGGCATCTGGGGGACAGTGCGAAAAGAATACAAACCAGGAGCAAAAAGAGGGTGCCCAGCGAATGGGTGCAGACTGTGGGCCCGGCATGTGGGCAGGACTTGGGCAGCTCTCCAGGCCAGGCCTGGGAGAGGCCGGTGAGCGTCTGTCCTGGCGCTCAGCAGACAGGGGATTCGGGGACTGCCCAGGTGTCCTTTACCAACGGCGTTCGGAGCCTTGCTGGCGTGGGACCCCCCACCTTCCAGCTCAGAGGCCTGTGTGAGGGTGGCCCCCTGAGCCGGCTCCCTCTTCTCTGTGCAGCTGGCCAAGTTCTCGGAGGACACTCTCAGCAGCTATACAGAAGCCGTCTCCTCTCAGGTATGCTCACCTGGGACACCTTTGGCCCCAGGCCCCCGTAGGCACCGACCCGAGCTCCCTCAAGCTGGCCCCTTGTGGAACCCTGGGGCTCCCCTGCCTTGTGGCCATTGAGTCTCCTGTCTCATGAGGGCAGCGCGCTTTGCCCAGACAAATGCCTCTCCAACCCCAACTTCCTGGCATCCCTGCACTGTTTCCTCTGTTGGCCCCAGAGGCTATCTCTAGGGAAATAATGCTGGACTTTGCCTCTTCCGCCAGGAAATGCTACGCTGCATTTGGGGTCACTTCCTGCGGGTGATCCAGGGGACGTCGCCAACGCTGAGCCATAGTTCCAGCCTGTTGCACAGCTTGGGCTCTGTCACGGTGAGGCTGTGCCCCGTGGGAGGACCCCGCCTCAGCTGGCCTGCCGCCTGGCTATGTGTGGGGTGCCTTTCTGCCACTTATGTGGACCCTGGCAAGTTGGGGAATGCCAAGCCCCCTTCCCAATTCCTGTCTCTCCCTGCAGGTCCTATGCTGTGTGGACAAACAGGGGATCCTGTCATGGCCAAACCCCAGCCCGGAGACCGTGTTGTTCTTCAGTGGGAAGGTGGAGCCCCCACACAGCAGCCACGAGGACCTAACAGATGACCTGTCCACCCGCTCCTTCTGCCACCCCGAGGTAGAGGAGGAGGTATGGCCGGCTCCCGGGGATCCAGCTCTGGGCCCGGCCGGTGGCCTCAGGGAGGGCGAGGCTAAGAGGGAGAAGGACAGCTCGAGCACCATTAGGATCTGCTGGGCAGTTGAGGCGGAGCCCCCACAGCCAGCAGTGAAGGGACATAACTGCCCTGCCTCCTTGGTCCGTGGCAGCCGTTGGGACCCCAGTCCGAGGCCTGTGCTCCTTGTTCTCTTCAGCCCCACGAACGAGATGCCCTCCTGGCTGGCTCCCTGAACACTTCCCTGCACCTTTCCAATGAGCAGGAACGCGGTGACTGGCCCGGTGACGGTCCCAAGCCCCCTGAATTCTACTCTCACCACAAAGCACATGGCCGCAGCAAACACCCATCCGGCTCCAATGTGAGCTTCAGCAGGGACACAGAGGGTGGTGAAGAAGAGCCTGGCAAGGTGAGAGGAAGGTGGAGAGCAACCGTGGGGTGTCCCGGCCTCCCTGCCGAAGAGGCTATGGGGTGCAGATGTCACGGCCTCCATTCCCAGGCCACCAGGCTTGGCCAGGCAGGGCCGTCTCCCAAGGCCTCATCTGGGACCCTTCCGGGAAGTAGGCCCTTTCTCCCTTTCTGGATTTCACGGATGGTAATTGGTCGGGGTGAGGCCCTTTCTCCTAGTTACCACCTTCTAAAGACAGAAAGCTGGCGGCTTCCTCTAAAATATTTCCACCCGCCTGAAAGAGATCCTTCATTGTTCCCTCCCTGGCCTGGGTACTCCCATCGTTGGGGGTAGCTACTAGAAGCAGCTGAAGGTCAGCAAGGGCAGGGAGAGGGTGTCGGAGAGGGATGCACAGAGTGTGAGCACGAACCCTCCAGTCTGATGCTGTCCTCTCCCCTCCACGTTTTCCTTGAGGCCCAGCCCGGACTGGAGGGCGAGCCGTACGAAGCGGAGGACTTTGTGTGTGACTACCACCTGGAGATGCTGAGCCTGTCACAGGACCAGCAGAACCCCTCCTGCATCCAGTTCGATGACTCCAACTGGCAGCTGCATCTTACCTCCCTGAAGCCCCTGGGTCTCAATGTGCTGCTGAACTTGTGTAACGCCAGCGTCACGGAGCGGCTGTGCCGGTTCTCAGACCACCTGTGCAACATCGCCCTTCAGGAGAGCCACAGCGCCGTCCTGCCCGTGCACGTACCCTGGGGCCTCTGCGAGCTGGCCCGCCTCATAGGTATGCTGGCCGCCGCTTCCGAACCTACTGGTGCCCTGTGGCCACATGGAGAGCGCCGTCAGCCCTCTTAGCTTCTTTTTTTTTTTTTTTTTTTTTTTTTTTTTTACTGTTTATTTATTTATTTTGAGAGAGAGAATGCAAGCAGGGGAGGAGCAGAGAGAGGGAGAGAGAATCCCAAGCAGGCTCCATGCTGTCAGCACAGAGCCTGATGTGGGGCTTGAACTCATGAACTGTGAAATCATGACCTGAGCCAAAATCGAGTCGGACACTCAACCAACTGAGCCAGCCAGCGCCCCAACCCTCTTAGGCTCTGACCACCCCCTTTAACCAGGCACCGTTCAGCAGTGCTTCCTCATCTCGTCTTGGAAAGTAACCAACAGCGGGATGAGCAGGGGAAAGGAAGCAGCCCAGCCTGACTGGGCTTGTCTCCGTGCCAGGGAGGGCGGTGCAGGTGCTTCCTCCCGGACACTCTGAGTTGCTATCCCTCCCCCTGCAGGCTTCACTCCTGGGGCCAAGGAGCTCTTCAAACAGGAAAACCACCTTGCACTCTACCGCCTCCCCAGTGCCGAGATGGTGAAGGAAACCTCGCTGGGAAGGCTCTCCTGTGTCACCAAGCGGCGCCCCCCCCTCAGCCACATGATCAGCCTCTTCATCAAGGACACCACCACCAGTGAGCCTTCCAGGCTTGGCCAGCATCAGGCCAGACCTTCCTGGAGCTTGGCAGGGTGGAGCTTCTTTTAGGCATCCCTCTTTAGGGGCAGCCCTGGCAGATGAGCGCTAGATAACGTCCCGAGTCTTCTTTGCACGTGGCAGGGATTGGATTTGGGGACTGGGGCTGGGATGGCGTGGCCACAGGGGCCGGGACTGTTTGAAGGACGGGCGGCCTAGTGTCTGTATCACAAGCCCGGTACCTCCCACATAAGCCTGGGGTATTGTGTAGAGACCCCCAAGGTCTCCTTAGCACCCTTCTCGAGGATGGCAGGGTGTTCCCTGAGTGAGTGAGCTGGGAGGAGGGCAGCGGTGGCTTGGGGCACTCACGGCTCAGCCTCTTCCTCCCTGCCTCAGGTACAGAACAGATGCTGTCCCATGGCACGGCGGACGTGGTCTTAGAGGCCTGCACAGACTTCTGGGACGGGGCCGACATCTACCCTCTTTCGGGTTCTGACAGGTGGGTGAGGAGGCACACGCCAGTGCTGGTCGCAGACCGCCCTGCCATCTGCCTTCCCGCCGGCCCACGGGCAGGGGGGCATCTCAGGACTGCTCGCCTCACTCCTGCCCTGCTTCCCTGGCAGAAAGAAAGTGCTGGATTTCTACCAGCGAGCCTGCTTGTCTGGCTACTGCTCTGCCTTTGCCTACAAGCCCATGAGCTGCGCCCTGTCCTCTCAACTCAACGGCAAGTGCATTGAGCTGGTGCAGGCGCCTGGCCAAAGCAGCATCTTCACCATGTGCGAGCTGCCCAGCACTGTCCCCATCAAGCTCAGCACCCGCCGCAACAGCTGGAGCTCTGACGGTACCGTGCACGTCCGTCCCTGTGGGGGCCCCGAGTGGGGAGGGCTTCTGGAGGGCCGTGGAGTCCATCATAGCAGAGGGGACAGTGGGCGCAGCATCAAGGTGGCACTCACCGCCTGGTGATGTGGGCCAGTCCCTTAGCCTTCTCGTGGATAGGTAGGTGCTTGCTCTGCTCTCCTCTCCTTATAGGTTTCTTGTGACACTCCGGTGGGATACTGGATAGCAAAGGGCTTTCTTTGAAAGTTATAAAATAGCAGTATTTATAGAACATTGGCCTTACTTGAATCAGACAAAAGGCCAGGTCACAACCCTGCTGAAACAGAGGGACTCAGAGCCACCCTGCCCCTCCCCACTCCACCAAACAGACAGACTCACAGCGGTCTTATGACCCAAAAGACCATGAATTGAGGCCATTGCTGAGAGTGAGGGCAGCCCCCTAGCCTTGGACCAGGGCTGGGCTCTATCGTTACTCCTGAGGATTGTCACCTGACTGATGAGTACCTCTCGTTGTCTTTTCTCCTGTGTCCGTTGGCTCCTTTGTGTGTCTTGGCTGTGTGTGTGCGTGGCTGTGTGTGGTCCCCCGGGGCCCACGTGCTCATTGATTTGGGTGTGGCATCTGTGTGTGTGGCCTGGGCCGCCTCCTGGAATCTGCTGGTTCCTGGGTGTTCCTGGCCGGGCTCTGTGCCTTGTGCCTACCTGAAGAAGGGATCGGGGAGGTGCTGGAGAAGGAAGACTGTATGCAGGCCCTGAGCGGCCAGATCTTCATGGGCATGGTGTCCTCCCAGTACCAGGCCCGGCTGGACATTGTGCGCCTCATCGACGGGCTGGTCAATGCCTGCATCCGCTTCGTCTACTTCTCTTTGGAGGATGAGCTCAAAAGCAAGGTGGGGAGAGCCACCCCTCTCTGCTGCCCCTGATCCTTTCTCCCATGGGCTTGTGGGCCCATCTGTTCATGGCCATCTGCCTTTTGCAGGTGTTTGCAGAAAAGATGGGCCTGGAGACAGGTTGGAACTGCCACATCTCTCTCACGCCCAATGGGGACATGCCTGGCTCTGAGATCCCCCCCTCCAGCCCTAGCCATGCTGGCTCCCTGCATGATGACCTGAATCAGGGTAAGGGCGCAGTTTTGTGGTGGGGACGAGGTGGGTGTGGGCACTTCTCTCCTGGGAGCTACAGCTAGAAAGAGCCTCCGCAGATCCTTCCTGATAAGTACATTCCCTTGGAAAATGGCTCTCGTCTCCCCGCGGTAGCAACAGTTGACAGCGAGGGAGAGGAGACCCAGATGCGGGAAGTTCTCTGCCATCTTCAGGGCAAGGAAAGGCCCCCAGAAAGGCTGATTCCAAGGTGAAGGACAGGCTTTCATCTCCACAGTGTCCCGAGATGATGCAGAAGGGCTCCTTCTGATGGAGGAGGAGGGTCACTCTGACCTCATTAGCTTCCAGCCGACAGACAGTGACCTCCCCAGCTTCCTGGAGGACTGCAACCGGGTATGACGGCAGGGTCTGTGCCCCTTCACCCCCAGAGGTAGCTGAATCGCTGGCCCTGAGAAGGGGGGCAGGGAGGGATGGACCCTCCTCCCCAGTCCTGAGGCTCCTGGCATCTCTGCTCTCTCCAGGCCAAGCTGCCCCGAGGCATCCACCAGGTGCGTCCCCACCTGCAGAACATTGACAACGTGCCCCTGCTAGTGCCCCTGTTCACCGACTGTACCCCCGAGAGTGAGTACCGTAGAGGAATCTGGGCTGGACGAGCTGGGGAATCCAGGGGGCTGGAGCTGCGGGTGTGCCCTTTCTAGGGAGTCAGAAGTGACAATCGTTCCATGATATTCATACTCCTGGGGGTAGGATTGTCCCCAAGAGGGGCCTGCTTCCCCTGTCTCCTGCTCTCCTGCCCCGTGGGTCTCTTCCCAGAGCCTCACACAGGGCTCCGCCTACCTGACTCTTGTGCCCCCCGACTGCATCCCACCCCAGCCATGTGTGAGATGATCAAGATCATGCAGGAATATGGGGAGGTGACCTGCTGCCTGGGCAGCTCTGCCAACCTCAGGAACAGTTGCCTTTTCCTCCAGAGCGACATCAGGTCAGGATGACATCCTAGAGCGGGGGCTTACACGGGCTGGGGCATGTTCCACGGCTGATCTTGCCCTAATTGGGACCGAGGGACCTGGACATGGTGGAAAGAGAGGGAGCAGGTGCTTGCCTAGTCCTATGGGAGATGGGATGGGGTCTTTGCGGAGTGTCGCTGAGGGGTATGCTTTCCCCCTGCGCCGAGCAGCATTGCCCTGGATCCCCTGTACCCATCCCGCTGCTCCTGGGAGACCTTTGGCTACGCCACCAGCACCAGCATGGCCCAGGCCTCGGATGGCCTTTCTCCCCTGCAGCTCTCGGGGCAGCTCAACAGCCTGCCCTGCTCCCTGACATTTCGCCAAGAAGAGACCATCAGCATCATCCGGCTCATTGAGCAGGTGGGGGCTTGGGAAGGCGGTGGGACGTGGGGCCTGCATGGGGTGGGGAATAGTGACACAGGCTCCACCTGGGCTCCCTGGGGCAGATGTACCTGCAAGAGAGCCTTTCCCGGGCACTGTTATTTGCCTCCACCCTTTCCTAGCAGGAGCATCTGGGGCATCTGGCTCTTGGCTGAGATCTGTCAGCTGTAGGCCTGGCCACAATCTGTCCCTCCCGGTCCCTAGGCTCGGCACGCCACCTACGGCATTCGCAAGTGCTTCCTCTTCCTGCTGCAATGCCAGTTGACTCTGGTGGTCATCCAGGTGAGGTGGGGCCGGCACAGGCATTGCCCCTCCCCCGCCCGCTTCCCCCGCCTGGGGCCAGTTGAGTCTGAGGTGGCAGTTCTGGGGGATGCGGCACAGCCTAGGGGCCCCCTAGCCTCTGTGAAACCCCTGGGCTTTCGGTAATGACCCCATCAGCAGAATAGTGGCCCCTGTGGCCCCAGCTCCTCTGGGCACCTCTCTGGGCACAGGGCCAGGCGGTCCTGGGGCTCCAGGCATCCCACTGTTTGCTAGAATCTAATCATGCTTCCTGGGCTCTCCTGGTCCAGTTCCTGTCTTGTCTGGTTCAGCTGCCACCACTGCTGAGTACCACTGACATCCTGTGGCTGTCCTGCTTTTGCTACCCTCTGCTCAGGTGAGAGTCATTCTGCCCCTCCGTGCCCAGGCAGGCAGGGTTGGGATGTCACCGAGCAGCCCCAGGAGCCCAGGTTCTGTGAGACCCGCTTAGTGCTCACGTCTCCTGGTGCAGAGGGCACTGGGGGGCTCTCTCTCCTTCGTCTTATCCCATCTCCTCAGACCTCCCCTCGCGTCCCAAAACTCCCGAAAGGCTACCCATGCGGGAATTGGGGGACAGAAGGCCACAGTCACCACGCTTCACCAAGTCCCTGCTTTTCAGCATCTCTCTGCTGGGAAAGCCCCCGCATAGCTCCATCATGTCTATGGCCACGGGGAAGAACCTTCAGTCCATTCCTAAGAAGGTAAGCAACGTGGAGCCCTGTGAGCCTGGGCCTTTCCTGAGGGACGGGTGCATGGAGGGGACGGAGCCTTGGGGGAGAGGTAGGGGCCTCCATCAGGACTTCCGCCAACCGCAGGGGAGGTGGTGGTGTGGAGCCGGGAAGCGTCCTCCACCCCTGGGCCTGCCCGCGTCCTGGAGAGCCCACCGCGCCTGGTGCCGGAAGGGCCGCTGCCGTGGGAGTGACAGGCCTCCCTCTTTTCTGCAGACCCAGCACTACTTCCTGCTCTGCTTCTTGCTCAAATTCAGCCTCACCGTCAGCTCGTGCCTCATCTGCTTTGGCTTCACGCTGCAGAGCTTCTGTGACAGCTCCCGGGCCCGCAACCTCACCAACTGCTCCTCCATCATGCTGAGCAGGTGGGTCCTGATCCCACCCCCCCTCGCCCGCCCCCTGCCCACTTTCCCGGGGCCCAGAGGGGGCTGAGTCCACCCCTTGCTTTGGCAGTCATGCCGACACAGCTCCAGCCTGGTTTGACGACTTTGCCAACGGACTGCTGACGGCCCAGAAGCTCACGGCGGCCCTGACCGTCCTGCACACGGGTGAGAGGCTCCCGGGGAGGGGGCCGGTGGCGGCCGGTGGGGCACCCCGGGGGTAAGGCCTCGGCCGGTGGGAAGTCTAACACCGCCCACTGGCCGTTTTCTCCAGTCTTCATTTCTATCACCCACGTGCATCGCACCAAGCCCCTGTGGAGAAAGAGCCCCTTGACAAACCTCTGGTGGGCCGTGACGGTGCCCGTGGTGTGAGTATCTCCGGGCGGAGGTGGGGGAGGGGCAGGGGACTTGGGCAGAGACTAGGGGGCTCGAAGGCAGGAGTTGAGCCAGAGGTTGAGTGCTGTCCCCCTTGAGCTACTTGTACTGGGAAAAGCAGGGCAGGAGGCAAGAAGAGGCAGGTTCACGCAGGGCTGTCACTTCCCCCCTGCAGCCTGCTGGGGCAGGTGGGCCAGACGGCAGTGGACCTACAGCTGTGGACACACAGGGACAGCCGTGTCCACTTTGGCCTGGAGGACGTGCCTCTGCTGACATGGCTCCTGGGCTGCCTCTCCCTGGTCCTTGTGGTGGTCACCAACGAGATCGTGAAGCTGCATGAGATTCGGTGAGCTGCCAACTGGGCACTCCCTCCAGGGTCAGGCGCGTTCCCCAAGCCTGTCACCTCCTGGGCACTTGCCCACTGCCTGGACTTCCATCCTTCTCTGGGGTCCTACCCTGTTCCTGGTCTGGGGTTCTGCTCTAACCTGTGCTTTAATCTCCTGCCCCACCAGGGTCCGGGTTCGCTACCAGAAGCGACAGAAACTGCAGTTTGAAACGAAGCTGGGCATGAACTCCCCCTTCTGAGCCATTGGCCACAGTGCCCATAGTTGCCCTGGTCCTGGGGCTAAAGCCAGACCAGTTTCTGAGTCTGGGGAGTTGGTATCGCGAAGGTTTCAGGGTTTCCTCTTGCGCCCCATGGCACTGGAGGCCCAGCTCTGTGTCAGACCCAGGTGTCATCCTGCCCCCTCCCCGGGGCTTAACCGTGGAGGAGCTGGTGAGCCATGGCGTCGGCATCAGGCCAGTCTGGTCTTGAATGTATGACCTAGTGCACTTAGTAGAGGGGCCCTTAGCCCCCTCCACCTGTGGGCTGCCCCCCTCTTTAGGGGCTCTTAACCCAGGGCCCTCTGCTCTGGGGTCTCCGGGCAGAGCCGTGAACTGTGGGGCCAGGACCTCAGGGGTAGCAGCCGTGGGAGGTCCAGACAGGCCACTGTCGAAGGCAGCAGTGGTGGTGTATCCTCCCTGCACCCCAGCCTGTCTTCCTGGGGCAGGAGCCTGGATGTGGTTGAGTGTTTCCCCTCCCTCCTTCTACGGGGGAGCCTCACGCTCAGACCCGAAGATGAAGAGCCCACCCCCCCACCCCCGACCCCGCCTGGCCCTGGCCCCTCTTCCTGTGCTGCCTTCAAGCTGGCCTCGAGCGTCAGTCTTGGGGATGTGGCCCAGGGCTCCTTTTAGCCCCCTGCCGTAGTTCTCGTGTGAGAATGTTTTTACTGGTGTATATTTTTTACTGGAAATGAGCCTTTTAGGAATGAATGTAGACTGGTTTGTATTAAAACTTGTAAATTGCCTAAGAAAAATCTGTGGCTGGTCCATGAGGCAGCCACTAAGGGGCCCACCCAAGACTTTGGCTGGTGAGGGAGCCCCGAAAGCGAGGGGAGGGCCCGAGCCTTCCTCCTTCCACACTGGCAAGAGCCCTCAGGTCTGGCTCAGGTGAGAACCCTGGGCTCGGAGGTCCACGGCACAGATCCAAACACACAGCCCGATCACGTGGAATGACACTTTCATTGGTGTTAGTTGGGAGAAGAGGTTAATGGTTACAGAGCCGGGGCCTGGGCCAACCAGATCAGGCTTCCGGCCCCGAGGTGGGCAGTGGGCACTCTTGCTGTGGTTCGAAGCCCCTTCCCTTGTGTCCTCTCAGGTGGTTATAGATAGAATAAATTCCATTTAAAATATATGCATCTCTCTGCTTAAAAAATAACATTTACAGTTGAAAAAGTTTGGACTTTGGGCATCTGTTAATCCCACTGCCCCCATGCCCGCCAGCTTTGCCTCACTGAGGGCAGGCAGCAGCGGGAGCAGGGGCTGGTCTGGGCACCGCCACCGCCGCTGACAGCAAGCCCCTGGCTGCCTATTTCCACGTCCTGTGTATACCTGTGGGAACTGGGTCAGACACACAGCTTTCTCCAGCCTTTTAGAGTGCCAGGACAGCACGGCACAGTAGGCGTCAGTAGGTCCTCGGCACAGACACTTGAGACATTGGAGGTGGTAGGAGGGCAGAGGAAGCTCTTACCAGGGTCCCTGTCCACGGGGGCAGGGCTGTCTGGTCAGATTACACAGCGGGAGGGAGCCCTGCTGACATGTGAGGTTCTGACAGGTCCCCTCAGCCTGCCATGAAGACCGCCCCCTAGAGCTGCAGTGCTGACGGTCGCTGGCTTGGAGCAGCAGGGGGGGACCCTGCTGGGGGCAAAGGCAACGGACGCTGCACCGCTGACGGCTGCCAGAAAGTCTCAATCAAGCATGGCATCCAGCTGGTCAGCCAGGGCATCAAACATGGTGCTGATGTCATCCAGAATGTGCTTGGTGGAGGTGCCGGGAGGGCTGCAGCGGGGGAAGGACTTGGTCAGATCAGAATGCACCCTGCTGGCCCTGGGCGGGCAAGGGGCTGTTCCTGAACACCTGGCTGGTGCCAGGCACTTTGTGTGCCCCTTGCTTCTCCCAGCCTGCTGAGGCAGCAGGTGCTAGTGTCCATTTAGTGAGAGCTCTGGGGCCCAGGAGGAAGTGCTGTGCTCGAGCTCACGTGCCTCTAAGCGATGGCCCCCAGGATTCCCCCCAGGTCACATCTGGGGAACTTAAGAACCAGGGCTCCTCCTGTTTTAATAGGGGTCGCCCGGGCCTAAGGATCTGTCTGGGACCACCCCCCCTTCCCACATTCCCAGGACCCCGGGGAAGAGGATTCAGGGGGAGCTGTTCCTTCCCTGCAGCCTTCTCTCCCTCCCTGCCCACCGGGCACCCAGCGCCCCTCACCCTTCTCGTTCCTCTGTGCCAATGCTCTTCTCTGCGGCCCTTAATGCAGCTGCCAGGGATGAGCTGGTCTGTTCCAGTCTCTGCTGGGCCCGGCCAGAGCCCACGGCTCCAGTGCTCTCTGGCCTTGGAGGGGGCACGGGGCGGGGGCCGAGCCGAGGAGCCAGCTTAGGACCAGAAAATGCCAGCTGGGTGCAGGCCACAGACACAGGCTTGGGGGCTGTTCCTGCAGAGACAAAAAGGTTGGTCGTGACTTGGCTGGGCTTGACACAACCCGTGCAAACACTGCCCCCTCCCGCAGACCCTGCCTCGTACCTGCACCTGGCACCTTGATGAGGGCAGCGGGGGAAGCTGGGGGCTCAGTCTCCCCATGCCGCCAACTGCCCGCCGAGTTCTCCAGAGCAGGCCCAGAGCAGGGGGGAGCAGGGGGCTGGGCTGGGGAGCCGGAAGAAAGAGGGGCTGGAGCTCCCTGAGTTGGAAGGCTGCTAGGGTCAGGCCGGGGAGGGCTGGGAGAAGCTGAGGAGGGGGCCTCGCCGGGGGTCTGGGAGGGAAGGAGGACAGTGGGGCTGGGCGTGGCACTGGCCACTCCAAAGGCCAGAAGTGCCGTCTGCAGCGGCTCTCTCTCCCGGCATTTGGGCCTCCGCTTAACAGTGTCTGATTCTGTGAGGTTGAAATCGAGGCCAGCGGGCACAGGCGTCTCCCGGGGTGGGGGGCCAGCTGGCTTCGGCCGCTGTTTGATAGTCAGGTTCCCCTCCTCGGCAAATGGGAGCCCTTCTCCTGAGCTGCCCCGAGATGGGGGCGTCCCCTCAGGTCCTGGCTCCTCCTCCTCTGTGTCCGACACGGGGCCAGCTGGGGCAAGTGGGCCGGGGGGCTCTGATGGGCCAGTTGGTTCACTTAGTGTTCGCCTTCGGGGCACAGAGGCCCCCTCCTTGGGCCCCGGGCTTCCGTCTAGTGGAGGCGGCTCCGTGGTGGGGCCAGAGACAGAGCTGAGGCGTTTAGGGGGTGGGGGCGGAGGGCCTTTGCGTCGGGCACGAAGGGCAAAGGACTGGCTGCGGGGGGCCCCTCGAGCTGGAGTCGGGCTAGGGCTGGTCCGAGCTAGGGCACTGCGTCCCGGTCGCCGAGTGAGGGTGGCGTAGCTCCCCAAGGCACTGCCCACTGGCCCTTCAGCCTCTCCCTCTGCTTCCCCCTCGGTGGGGCCGGGGCGGCTTAGGCTATGGGACCGGCGCTTGGGCCGAGGTGGGTCTGGAGGAGTGGCGGGGGGACCAGCCAAGTAGGAGAAGGCACGAGGTGCACCAGGAGGTGGCCCCGGGGCTGGGCTGGAGGGTGAGCCCTGGGGATACATAAAAACATAAGGCGGGGGGCCTTGACCGGGAAGTGGGGAACAAAGCTTAGGGGGCCGCTCTGTGCCCTCTGGAAGGTTCCTCTCCTGTGGGGTGCTCGGGTCTCCACCACTGGGCTGGGGGGCCGGCTGTTCCTGGGAGTGACCGGACCCTCGTGAGCGTGCTCCAATGCTCTCCTGGCTGGGAGAGCGGGCAGGGGGCAGGGGGAGGGGCTCGGGGCCACCCCCAGCCATGGCTGCCTGTAGCTCTGGGCTCAGCTCACTGCCCTGAAAGGTGAGGAGGCGTGGGCCAGCTGCAGCCGGACCGTCCCCATTCTCCAGCCCCTCAATGGCCATCAGCTCCGGGCCTCGGGCTAGACGGCGGCCACCTTCAGCTGGGGCCTCCCCCTGCAGTAGGCCCCGCCGAAGCTCGGCCAGCCGTTTCACTCCCAGCATAAGCTTCTTCTGATGACCTGAGAGGGGACGGGTAGAGGCAACAGGGTTAGTGGGGGCTACAAAGGGTCACCTTGGTCCCCCTGGGATCCCATTCTCCCTTCTGGGCCTGACCCCTGAAATGTTTTAGACATCCTGGGAGTCACGTGGGGGCCCGGCCACAAGGCCCCAGGGCAGTCCTCACCGAGCTTGTTGACCCCGATCTCTTGCAGCTCCTCCCAGGTGAGGTCGGCCACCAGCCCCATGGAGTCGTAGCCACTGCTCACCAGCTGCTTGTGGTACTGCGGCAGCCCCAGCGCGCACAGCCACTCCAGCAGGTCCGCCTGGAAAAGGACCCCAGTGGAGCCGGGTCCCCAGCCAGCCTCAGCCCCCAAGCCAGGAAGGGCCCACACAGCCATGGCTGAAGGTGGGTGCTGGCACCAGCCACCTGCTTACCGGGATGTAGTTGGGCAGCCACTCGGCGATGCTGAGCTGAGCAATCTCCGAGGCGATCTTCTTCCTGTGCCCAGGCTTGGTGACCCCGATGGCCGTCAGGTCCTGCCACACAGACTCGTGCCGTTAGGCCCCCTCCGGTACCCACTGGGCCCTCTGCTGCCTTCCTGCTGTGGCACCTACCTCAGGCGTCATACGGCTGATGGTTGGCACGTCGTAGCCAGCCTGCAGGAAGTGGGCGGTGTAGCCTTCCAGCTGGAACTCACTCAGCCAGTTATGAATGGCCTGCGCATCCTGTGGCGTGCGGGCAGAGAGTGAAGTTAACAGAGCGGGGTCTATGGAGGAAGAGCCGAGGCTGGGGCCCAGCCATCAACCCCAGCCTCCCCTCGGGGCCCGGCCAGAGCAGGGGCTTGAGTCCATACTGAGGCCCATCCCACGCCGGGCCCACAGCCCACTTCTCAGTGCGGGGGGGTGGTGGTGGGGGGGGGTGTCACACCTTCCCCTCCAGCAGCTGCTCCGGCCTCACGTCCTGGGTGAAAAGCTGTTCCCCAGAGTGGTAGTTGACCAGAGGGCGGTGGCTCAGGTTGTCTTCAAGAGGGAAAGAAATGGAATCAGGGATGGCAGGATGGAGGAGTGCCCACCCGGGTACCATTTACCCTTCCTACCTGCCAGGGACGGGGGGTGCAGTCCTGGCAACACCTGGTCCTCTCCGGGGGAAGGCAGTGGCTAGAGACAGGACAGGAGCTACTCAGCACGTCGGGGAGCTGACAGCAGGGCAGAGGGCTCTGTCCTAGCCCCAATGCCCCCTCCCTCCTACCTGAGCATTCTCAATAAGAAGGCCGGTGCCATGGCCGTTGGTGCCCTCGGAACTCTGCCCGCTGCCGGCACTGCGGATGCTGCCCACGCTGCCCTCGCTGCCCACGCTATTCCTGTCACCTGCTGCAGGGGCACAGGCAAAGGGGTTAGAGCCCCATTTGGCCTCACCAACAGCTGACTGGCAGCTTGCCAAGACCAGACACCCACCCCAGTGCCCAGCATTGCCCTCTGGGAGGATGTACCTGGGCTATCTGGGCTGAGGCCCACCCGAGGGAGCTGGCCATAGGTCAGAGAGTGCAGGGGGTCATCGGCAGGGGGCTGCTGTGTCCGAGAGAAGCCTGGGCGGAGAGGGGTGGGCACCGATGGGAGGCGGGGCGCGAGGATGCCCACTCGCTTGCTGACCACCTCCACGATGCCTGGGGGGAAGTAGCCCACACGGTCCGTGCCCCTCTGGCTCTCATGGATGTGGCCCTTCCAGCGGCCGTCGGGATGTTGCTCAAGCACCTGAGGCAGATGGGGCATGGGGGGGTGATGGCATCGATCACTTCCTGCACCAAGCAAAGGCAGGCAGCCAGCCCTATAGCCATGGTCCAGCGTTTCCTTTCCCCGCAAGGAGCTGATGCCCAAGTGCACCCACAGTTCTGCCCTTCCTGCCAGCATCCGGCCCAATCCACCTGTACCGGGGCCTCACCGTGATGACATCCCCTGCCCGGACATTGAGAGCAGTGGGATCGTGGAGGTTCCAGAAGTCCTTGAGTGCTCGGACCTTCAGGATCCCCGAGGCCTCTGAGAGAAGATACAGGGCTGGCATCATCTGAGGGTCCTTAGGGTGTCTTCCCACCCCTCCTGTCCCTTTCACGACCCTCCCCCAGGTTCCCGTTACAGCAGTCCCCTGACCAGCCCTAGGTGTGGGGGTGTGGCATCTTGCTCCTGGGACATTGCTCCTGCTCCACTTCCTCGTACCCACTGGAGTGGCTCTGGCCACCCCCTCCCCCAACCCTGGGCTGGGTCTCCCCTCACACACACTCACCACGCAGCAGCTGCTTGATTTCTCGGCTGGCCTGGGAGGTGGTGAACTGATTCACAATGTCCAGTGCCGTCTGGTTATACGTGTTCCGAATGTTCACATCCACCCCGCCCTGGGTGCACAGTGTGAGCACACACTAAGAGCTTCACTTACCACTTCCCCCAGTCCTCGTGACTACCCAGGAGGTGAACGGTACCCACTACTTTCGAATTTTACAGACGAAGAAATGGAAGCTCAGAGATAGGATCAAGGACGAACTCAAGGTCATTCAGCTAGTGACAGGCAGAAGTGGGGCTTGAACCAGGTCTGTCTGCTTTCCAGTCACAAGGCCACTGCTTACCCAAACACCACCTTGTGGGTGGAGACCCCCTCCCGCGTGCGGGCTGCCTGGGTGCCCACACTTACCTCCAGGAGCAGCCGGACTACCTCGGTCTTGCCATACAGCGCAGCCTCGTGGAGTGCGGTGCCTGTCTTGGTCTGGCGGTTGATCTCGATCCCAGCTCTCAGGAGCTGCCTGTGGCGTAGGGGCGGGGGTGAGTCACGGGGGTGGTGGGGGCAGGGGAGGAAGCAGACTGCCCCCGGCTGGGAGAGTGATCCAGAGCGAGAGTGAAGAGGGCGGCAGGGCACCGAGGGGACATCACCCATTCCACAGGAAAGGGATGAGGAAGTGGGGGTGGGGGGCGGTGGGTACCTGATGACCTCTCTGTGGCCGTTCTTGGCAGCCAAGTGCAGGGGCGTGGTGTAGTTGGGGTCACACGGGTCCTTGGCCTCACCCTCCAGCAGCGCCACACACAAGTGACTGTTCAGTAGTAGCTGGGCCACCTGCAGCAACCAGCACCCAGGTTGGGCTTCCTCCTGAGACCCCACAGATGCCCACGCCCTGGCACCCTAAGGGCTACAGGCCTCACCTTAAGTCGCCCAAACTCGCAAGCCAGATCCAGGGGCGTCTTCTTTGCCTTGTTGACCAGGCAAGGGTTGGACTGATGCTGGAGGAGCATTTCTGACTGGGGTGTAGGGAGCGGAGTGAGGCGTCTGGCCTGGCCAGCGCCCCCCACCCCCATGCCCCGGCCCCAGCGCCCCTGCAGGCAAACAGGCTCTCATACCACTTCATAGTGTCCGTACTGGGCAGCCAGATGCAGCGGGATCTGCCCATCCAGCGAGGCGGCGTTCACGGCCGCGGAGGCCCGCAGCAGCAGCCTCACGGGCTCCAGCCGGCCTTGCCAGGCTGCGTAGTGCAGTGGGCGCATGCCTGCAAGGAGGGAAGGCGGATCGGAGGAGGTCCTGGGATGTGGTGGGGTCAGGGGAGGGAACTGAGCAGACGGTAGAGCCACCCTAGCTGCAGGGGGAGACGGACCCAAGGGCGGGGATGCTGGCTGGTCAGGGAAATGTCTGGTCGCCTGGGGCTGAAGTCAGAATCCCACCTTGCCCACCATGGGTGATTCCTCATGACAGGAAGGTAACCTCAGCCTCCTCATCTGGAGAATGGGGTGTTAGTACCACCCACTACCCCAGAAGGCTGTGAAGATTAAAGAGGTAAAGCATCTGCAGGCCAGAGAAGCTGTGCCAACACGTATTAGCATTGCTAGAGTGTAGCAGGAGCAAACTCTGAGCACAGGGTCTGGCCAGGGGACACACCGGGGTCTCACCATTGCTGTCTTTGATGTCAACGGTGGCCTGAGCCTCCAGTAGCAAGGCTATGAGCTCCAGGCTGCCCCCCAAGGCGGCATGATGGAGGGCAGAGAATCTGGTGTGGTGGGTGGGACACAGGGCAGGGGTGTTAGCGAGCGGTGCCCCACCCCCCAAATCCTGGTCTTCCACACCAGACTCATCCTGGAGGCTGGCAGGGATGAGTTACTTGCCCACTGTGCCCCCGCTCCCCCACCCTGCCAGCCCTGCCGTGGGAGCGCAGAGCAGCGGGCTACAGCATGAAAGGGCTCAGTGTCTGGGCTGAGAGGCCTGTTTGTCTGGCCTCCCCCCCCAGCCAGCCCAGGGGAGGGGGCCGTGGGAGCAGGAGCCCGAGGGCTCCTACCCTCTGGGGAGAAAAAGGGGGCCTGGCAGGAATCTGACCCAGGAGGCCCCTCAGAGAGGCACCAGGGCTCCCTCCCCTCACTCAAGGATAGCTCCACAGGCAGGAGGGTGGGCAGGAACCAAAGCTCTCAGCAAACACCATTCAAGGGCCAAGTTTGAGAGGGGAAGGGATTCTAGGGCCCAGGGCTTTCCCTTTACCCCTCCCCCACCCCCACAGCTCTCGAGGGGGACAGGGGCTCACACTCACCCATCAGCATCCTGGTAGTTGACGTTGAGTCTCTTCGTGGAGCCGAGGAGCTCTGGGGGATCAGAGCAGAAGGCATCAGGACACGTTAGAATGATCCGCCCTTACCTGCATCCTAACCAGCGCTCCCACCCCACCCTGCTCCCTAATCCAGCTGACCTCTTGGTGTGCAAGAAAGCACCTGCCCCATGGCCCTTCTGTGATCCTGTCCCTGTGGTTCCCCACCCGGCCGGCCAGCCCATCAGCTTGAGGGCACCCGGTGCAGGGAGCTGCTGCAGCAGTGGCCTGGCTTCCCTGGGCCCCCAGCCCAGCTTGTTTATAGAGCCAAAGGGGGCGGGAAAGGGGGGGACTGGCATGCCGTGCCCTCAATGGACAGGCCCACGAATGCATGGTTAGCATTCCTGCCTGAAAGGGCCAAGGAGTGTCTCATTGTCCCACTGGGCCGAGGGGGCTGCGAGAGAAAGGAGAGGGGCACTAGATGCTGGAGGGTTGCAGGGCAGATGCCAGGACTGGGCCCAAGCCCGGGGACATCCCTGAGTGGAACGTGGTGAAGAAGGTGGCATCAGACAGAACCTGCGCTGTGCCCAGCTCTGCCATGTACCGGCTGTGAGATCCTGAGCAAGTCACTTAACCTGCCGGGCTTAGTGTCCTCATCTGTAAAATGGGCCAATCACAGAACCGGCTCACCAGGGTTGTGAGGATAATGCCTGACCCTCGTCAGCACGCCAAAGATGGGAGCCGCTGCCCTTTAGGACTCCTTACACGTTAGCCATCAGGGCCCACATGCCGTCCTCTGGTACAGTCCCCCCACTGGCTCCTGTCAGGGAGATAACTGCTGATTCTGCACCCACAGGCTCCCCAGCAGAGATGTCCACGCCCCGGGCACAGGGCTCTCTACGGGGTGGTGGCCAGAGGAGCCAGGGGCACGGGCAGGCCGCTGGTTCATCCCTGTCAGGAATGGTGACAGGATTCAGGCAGGTGTGCTCCAGGCAGGGGCCAGGACACAGGAGGGGGCGGTCCTTGAGGGGGAAGGGGAATGTCTGTCACAGGCGGGCCCCTGCCTCCTGCTGGAACCCACCCTTGCTGGGAAGGAGGAGGCCTGGCTCAACCCAGGCTGGGCAGGGTGCCAAGCATGCTGGTCCAGGCCTGCCCTCCAGGCCCTGGTGGGCCCCTGAATACCCCAGCAAGACAGGGCTTCATTCCAACAGGGAGGGATCGACGCGATAGTGAGGAGCATGGGATGGGGAGAGAGGGGACTAGCTACGTTTAAGGCTGAGCCGAATTAAGCTATGTACTACGCAGAAAAGGTAAATACAGAGCTGGGCAGTGACAGAAGGGGAGAAGGGGTGGGGCTGCTGGAAAGAAACCTAGGCCTCCCAGCCTTCCTCGAGGCCCCTTGGAAAGCCCTTGTCACACAGAACCATTCAGGGCAATGGAAAGGAAAGGGGCTTTAGAAGCAGGAAGTGTGTGGTCCAAAGTCTCCCCCTTACTGGCTGCACGACCTCGGCCAGCCAGGGTACCTCTCCGAGCTTTGGTGAAGACAACGAGGTCAGCGGGGAGGACACACAAAAAGTCCCTCCACCTGCTGCCAGCCTGGACAGTCCGGAATGGGGCAGCTCAGTGGTGAGATACAGCCCCTCCGGGGAGTGGCAGGACAATGTGACAGGAGGGACAGGAACAGGGGCAGGGGCAGGCTGGGTGGCTCTGTTCTTTCCAGAACAATGGCCGGAAAGGCGGTGGGGGAGAGGCTCAGAGTGACTGGGCTTGGGACCTTGGCTGGAGGGCGGAGGGTCCTGGTTCCTGGCAGTGGCTCCAGGCACTTCCCCTGCATCACAATCTTCTTCCCCGGCCTGGCTCTGGGGGTAGAAGGGTCGCTCCTGATTTAGGCTCAGCCAGAGGATGTGAGCTCACTGGGCCACCCTCAGCCCACCCCATTTCCTCTGGCCAGAGAAGGAGACAGCTCAGAAAAGGGAGCAGGGGAGGGAGAGAGGGCAGGGTTGAGGCCAGGGCAGCTGCTCCTCTCTCCTCCCAGCCACCTGCTCCTTTAAGAGGACCTGGGAGGGCAGGGAATGCCAAACCACCAGTGACCAGATACCAAATGGAGGAGGCTGAGGGAGCACCTCTCTTTGGCCAGCCAGAAGGTTCTAGCCATCCACCAGAAGGATAAAGGGGAACCCTGGCACCTCCCTTTCCATCAGTTTCCTCTGCCTCACTGTGATATGGAGTAGGAGTTCCCAGCCTCCCTTCTGAGAACTGTTTTAGAGTCACCTGGAGACCGTTTTGATTTGCAGAGTCACAAGACCTCTAGGATGATTCTAAAACTCTGAGGAAGAACAGGGAGTTGGCACTTTCAGAAAAATCACTAGGTAATTCTGACGGGCAGCTGAGTGCAGGAGCGAGGAGGGAGGACAGGGACCCTGATCTGCCACACAATGTCTGTGTGACCTTGGGCAAATCACTGAACCTCTCTGAGTGTCAGTTTCCTTATCTGTAAGGTAGATGTAGAAATACCCATCTCACAGGGAATTGAGGGATTATAACATCTCGTAAACTGTGGGGTCTGCAAACGTCACCTTGTGATCTCCTTTTTGCACCAGATTTCCTAGCTTCTCAGAGGACTGGGAGGGGAGGCTCAGTGCCAGGGCCTCACAAGGAGGCCCAGGACTCTGTCACTCTGTGGCCATGCCTACATTCTGTACAAGTCTCCTTGGGGGCTGAGAGAAGAGATCTCTTCCCCCATTGGCATTTTCCCTGGGGCGGGGCACCTTCCCAGGGCCTAGGAGTCTGGCTGTGAGGTTCCCGCCACCAGCCTCCAGACCCCACCCACTTGCCCTCCCGAGGGCCTCACTTTGAGGCCCCAGAGCCGTGAGGCCAGCAGCAGCTCAACCAAGGCCCTACTGGGCAGGTCGCCAAAAACAACACAGAGGTGAGGGGAGGAGGGGGAGTGGTTCCCACTCTTGGGCCTCCAGGGCCCTCCCAGGACCTCCTTAGCACCTTCCTTCCATCTGCTCAACCTGCATCTACTTCCCCAGGGCACAGAGACCACTCGCTGCCAGCGCCCCCCACCCCAGCCACTATTCCCATCTCCCCATACCTTGGGTCTCCTGCCCTAGTGTGCGAGTGGGTGCACATACACGTGTACAACTCCCAGGCCCTTCAAATCCATCCTTCTGGCACCCCAAACTCCCAGGTGTGGGTGAAGATAATTATATGTCTTCACATAGTCTGGGGGGCCCCTTCCTGTGCTTGGGGCTATAGCCCCAGCACTCTGAAGGAACCTTCCCACACCCAGCCCCAGTCTGGTGGCAGGGGCTACCTCCTGCCCCTGCTGGTCTGGGAACTCAGAACGAGTCCAGTGTCCTCCTGGGACTGCCCAGAGAGCTTGCCCTGAAGTCCAGAGGTCCACTCTCCTTGGAGGAGTGGGGTGGGGAGGGGTCTCACCACAGAGGTACCCAAGAGATGGGGCTCGGGTGTGGCCACCCATGCATAGAGCCCCTGTAACCCCGTCAAGACTAGAGACCCAGGCTTTGGAGAAACCTCTAGAGAGTTAGCTTTGGCCACACACACACCCCAGGGGATACAGACAGATATGTCCAGGGGAAAGGGGCTTTAGCAAGAGCTGAGATAGTGGTGAACTTTGTTTTAAAGCAGTAGAGATCTCTTTTTAAAAGCTATCTTACAGGCATCCCCACTACGCTGACATAAATGCAGAGATGCTGTTGCTGAATTGGGGGATGGGGCTGAAGCTCTAGCTATTCAGTCTTTCCCAACCCACTGCCAGAAATCTCGTGGCTCCTCTTCAGAAAAACCACCTGCTAAAGGCAACTCCATGAGGGCAGGAATTTTGGTCTGTTTCATACACTGCTGCGGCCCAGTGTGCCTAGAACAGAGCCTGGCACACTGTAGGCACTCAAAAAACCCTTGAATGAATGTATTTCAACCCTTTTACTTTACAGGTGAGAACACTGAGGCCCAGAGAAGTTAAGTGATTTGCCTAAGGTTACACAGCAAGGGGTGACTCAACTTCCTCTCTGGCTCTCTCACAGAGGCATTCCTTATACAGAATAAGACAGTCCTCCTACTCAAGTCCCCAGATCACAGTGATCCCCAAGCCTCTCTCTGTGGCCTGAGCACACAGGGGAGGGTCTCAGCTAGACAGTCACCCCCCCCCCCAACAAGCACTCACTTGTTTTTGCAGCCTTGACTTTAGCCACCAGTTTCTGCACACCAGTCACATCTCCATTCTTGACAGCAAGGATCAGGTCCTGTTCACGACCCATTCTGGTCCCTGGGCTGGGATCTGGGATCAGGAGTCCGGGGCAGAGGCAGGAAAACTTTAGGTCTAAGCCAAGGTCTCAGGGTACCATGCTTTGGCCCTTTGGAGGGCCAGGTGTCCTGGGGGAGTGTGTCTGGTGTCCCAGGCAGTGGGCTTCTTGTTAGGCACTGATGGGTACTCCCTCAAGGTGTTTCGTGAGCTGCCACCACAAGCAGGAAAACCGATCTCTGAGGGGGTGGAGGCTGCGTGGAAATCTGGACAGATATCTGCTTGCAGCGTCTGACGGCCCAGGGACGGGCTGGGGCTGGGCACGCCGATCTTCCCAGTGTGGCTCAGGAGCACCGGCGCCCACCCAGAGAGCAGCCAGCATTCCCTCGGGCCTCGGGCAGCAGCAGTGGACAAATCTCAAGGGTCTGGAAAAGGTGCAGTGCCTCTGCTGAAGGTGGGCCAGGCCTGCAACGGTCCCAGAAGTGGGGCTCAGAAGAAGAGGAAGACAGGGCTTCCAGGGAGCCCCCAAGCCCCCCTAGCTGCCCTTTTGAGTCAAGGAAGGGCCAAGCCACTCAAAGCGGGGAGACAGCTGCCAGGCATGAGAGCAGTATTTGGGGGAAGGAGGTGACTTTCTGGGAGGGGGAGGCTGAGTCACTGAGGCCCCAGGGCACCTGGCAGCACCTCAACCTGGGGGCAGGAGGGGCCCTGGCAGCACGACACACTCGGGCAGGCTGGGCCAGCAGCCTGTTCTCCACAGCCTGGGGCTCTGACACCCACAGACAACTGGTGGGCCAGGAGGTGGAGCCTGGAAGGGTCAGGCACAGGCAGGCGTGCAGGGGTCACTCCCTGTGGAAGGTGCCTGCCCCCAGACTCCTCCCAACCGAAGCTTTACAATAATAGCTGGATGCCCTAGCCCCAGGCTCTTTATGAATTCAAAGGGTGGGGTAGAGAGCTTATAGCTCCCCATTTCTGGCCGGGGTCGGCCTGCTGGACAGGGAGGCTTTACAGCACCTGTTGCTGACCCATCCTCAACCCTCGCACGGGATGAGGAAGCAGCTGGGCAGAGAACAGACAAGAGCTGGGGTACTGTTTGCAAATGGGGCTGCTTGGCCCCCCAAGCCTGAACCTGAGGCCCGGAGCTCCGAATTCGCTGCAGAAAAGCTTACGTCAGTTTTCGGTGGCCAGGAATTTGTTGCCCAAGTCCTGTGGCATGAGACCCGCGCAGGCCTGGGGCCCTAGCTGGGGTCTTCTTACTCCCAGAACGTCCCAAGCCCAACCCAGATGGCACTCCTGCTCTTGCCCGCAGCCGACATGGGAGGAGGGCGCCCCTGGTAGAGCTTGGGGTCGGGCTGGCTCCCCCGCCCCCCGGAATGCCAGTTCAGCGCCGCGCAACCCCCCAACCCAGCCCAAGCCAGGCCGACCCGGGGAACAAAGCGGCGGGAGCGACCGGGAGAGCCAAGCGCCGAAGGGATTGATGCATGAGGACGGAACACGGGCGCGAGGAGAACGGAAGGAGCAGAGAGACGAAGGCGCCCGCCGATCGCGAAAGAAAAGTTAGTTTGTGCCCGCCCTCAAAGGTGCTGACCACCAGCGCAGGCCCCGCAGTCTCACCTCTCCCAGCTGCCCCGCCGGGGGTCCGGCTGGCCTGGCTCAGTCCCTGGCACTCTGGACCGTGGCTCCCACTGCCCCCCTGAGCCCCTTTCTCCTCCTTCTCCTCCTTTTCCAAGGCCGGCTCGGCGC